AGTCCTTGTTTCAAAACAAACAGTGCACAGATCTTTCAATTCTGGTCCAGGGATATAGCTCGAAGCGATCTCATGGGGTATTGTACTCACAACGCCAAATGCAATATAACACTTCACTGGCTAAAAAAACGTAGAATGGGCAAACGATCGGTAGGTTACCTTTACGCACTACCGAAAAATTCACAGGAAAATGAGCTCGGTGTTGGACTAGTCGGTTTTCCCAACGAAATGCCACTTTGAGTTAGTTATGCCTGAAGACACACAATGAACAAGAACGACAACACTTCCAGCTCGGAGAACACACCAACAACGCAAGGTTCCGTTGTGTATATACGTACCTTCAAACAGATTTTACTAACACTAATCACTATCAGACAACCAAACGACACCAAATTCCAGTATGAGAGCGTGGCAGTCTATCACCCATAGACTAGAAGCACGTCGACTATGGCATATCGGAGTGAACGTCTGAGTAAGTCTCTTGACTCGCAAACAATCGAGTTACTACTGGTTAAACCAGAAGTCTTGTGGTTCTGATAGACGTGTATTGGGGAACCGTGGCACAGGAAATGTACCGGTACCTGATAAAGAAAGTTTGCGTTACAGTATGAATATAACAAAAAACAGCGAGTGAGAAAACGTGCAAACGGAGCGAAAGCGAAATGTGAAGGTCCTCGAGCAGCAGAATTAGTTGGAGGTCCTGTAAAACAAACATCACAGTGCGTTGGTACTGAGGTAAAAATGTGAATATACATTTAGTTTGTAGAGGAAAAATGATGTCCGGCAACGATCTGTTATTGTACGAGTTTAACCAGTTAGAGTGAATTATTTTCCGTCGTCAAGTGAGATTGGCCTCATATATAGCAAGGAAACAGCACACGTTTTGTCAGAAGTGTGTGAAGAAGATTTCCTCAGTCTGAATGGTGGTCCATTTGACTTTAAGCTGCAACTGAATAAACTCAGATTAGATGGTTCAACAGCTTGTTGTGCATTGTATGTTAATACTGTTAGAAACCATAAAAATTTAAAACACACTCATGTTTCAGTTACACAGACTGAGAATTTAGTTCTTTGAAATTGAGACACCTTTGACCCGACACGTGTTGTTATGTAGCCGAATTGTTATATTTTACGCCGCGTATATCCGTTGCCTACTATTAGATCGCACAGCACTATATCGCAGGAGAACACCACAAGTGCAAAGAACACAAGATATAGCACAGTAACAATAGTAGCACACGCGAAATGAGAACAGCGGACTAACACTAAGTCCGTGAGGGGATGATAGTTCTAGGAGCGGACGCTACCTAAGTGAAACACAGGATTCACGGTCGGCTATCGATCTCTCAGGCCTCCCAAACACGCGAGAGAGAAGACACGGCTTCAGCAGTACGGGATTTTAATGGCGTTGAGCAAAAATCACAAGTCACGAGCCGTGCGCCACAAGTCACAATTTACAGGTTCACTCTGCTGCTTATATGTGACTGAAAATAACGTTGACCAATGCAGGAAAAAGAATGTACCAATGAAATGCACAGTGAGCAATGCTCAAACGGCCATAGGTTGCGGATCAGGCGAACGGAGAGAATGAATATTGCCCGTACGACGCAATATTATTGATTTATCTCCGCGAAATTGATCCGAGATGACCCAACTTGGGTCGAATGTGTTGTAAAATTGTTTGATTTTGCTCACTGAATTACCAAGTGCGTGGTCGGGCTTATCCTGGGACGAATGGCGTTGATCTTCGTCACAGCACCTCCCCACTTAAGTTGGTTACTTGTAGTGTTGGTAACGGGGATTTACTTGCATTCTTCTGGTTGGTCTTCATGGCCGACTGGACCGTTTTCTTGGCATGAGGCATGCTTCTTCTGCTGTTGTTACAGTATTCCTGGTTCGGATGTCAAAATTGTCCAAAAGAATATTCATGGGAAGTGCCTTTCGTTCAACCTCGCAAGATTGGTGATATCTAGGGTGCAACTGGTTCTTGTGACGTAACCATGTGTCCTGCTCTATCTGCACTTCATAAAGCACTTTGCCAATTCACCCGTTTAATGGTTCCTTCTGCCTATGTGTTGCGATCTGGACGATAATCCCTGGCATATACAACAGCATTCGGTGCCAGCTTGTTTACTTCCATTGTGTCTCTTTCCGATTTAACTGATGTCTTTGGGTAGCATTATGTCGTGGACTGTTCGCAACTTACGGCCCATTAGCGCTTCTGCAGGAGTTTTGCCATTCGGTGTTGATTCATTCGGAGTTGAACGGTATGCCAAGAAGAACCGTTGCAGAATTTCATCTGTAGTCCCCTCCCCCCGATTCTTTACCAGGGCTCTTTTGAAAGTATCCACGTATCGTTCCACCTGACCGTTGGATTGTGGGTGATACGGTGGAGTCCGAATGTGTTGGATGTGCCGCCGTTGACAGAAATCTCGGAAAACAGCCGAAGTGAATTGGGTACCATTGTCCGAAAAGAGCACTTCTGATAGGGCATGTTGGGCGAGAACACGGCGCAGACAAGAGACAGTATTTCCAGCAGTGGGGGAGGAAATGGCGGAGATCTCAGGCCACTTGGAGTAGGCATCTACTATGATGAAGTAGTAGATAGCGTTTACTGGTCCCGCATAGTCAATGTGTAGTCGCTTCCATGGACCTGTAGGTACTGGCCACGCAATTGGTTGTTCTTTTGATGGAATTTTAGCAGCCTGGTGACACTGAGAACATTGCCGAACAATGATTTCTATATTTCTGTCCATGAAGGGCCAGTACACAGCTTCGTGTGATTTCCTTCATCCTGCTCATGCCGGTGAGGGTCGCATGAAATTGGCGGAGTACTCGTGAACGTAATGACGATGGAATGACAACACGATTGGCGAACATGAGATACGATTCCACCACAGATAAGAATCCACGTCGCATATACAACTGTTTCAGCTCGTCGAAGTTCACCGTAGGTGGCCGGCCATGTATAGTCCATGATATTGCGAATTGAACATTGGGGTCATTTGTGACGTGTGTCAGCATCGGACGTGATAGCTGCAATCACCATGTCTTCTGGGGTAGAAGTCTGGTGTTGTGAAAGGCGTGATATCCATCCGCTTGACTAAAGTCCTGCGTGAGGCGGAATTCTGGTTGAGCGTCAAGTCGAAGTTGCAATGAGGCTTGTGCACGGGGGCATAGTCCGATTCCGTCTTGGAAAACCTCCGGAAATCGCTCTGTCATTTGTTTTTCCATTGGTGAGTCGGAGGAAGAGAGTGTGTTACATATTGTGCTCAGTGGTAAATCCCATAGATTGAGACGGCCGATCCATTCGAGGCCCAACATATTGAGTGATTTATCAGATAGATAACAGATGCCCTGCTTGTGTACGTCAGCAAATGCGATAGTACACTAAAACTGTGCTACCAGTTTGATAGAGCCACCACAGGCACTGGTGGCTGTACGTGTGGTTCGAGTCAATATAGGACGGCCGATGGAGGACCACAGTTGTCTCGAAATAATAATAATGTCTGAAGCTATAGCGAACTGTAGCCGTGCCGGATATCCATTCATCGAAAGGCGGATATATTGTCTAGGAGTAGCTTCATCCAAGTTAAAACGTGCGATCAAACTCAATGACTGATCTTCGGGTTGAGAAGACCTGTTGAGTGGTCTGACGTTTCGTTTGATTGATCGAGAGTTAC